CGGGCGCCGCGCGCGCCGCGGGGCGGTGCCGCCGCTTTGTCCTGCGGGGCGGGCCCCGCCGGCCCCAACCCCCCAGAGCCGGAGCCCGTCGGCCCGGAAGCAGCCCGGCGCGGGCTGGGCGGCCTCGTCCGCCAAGTGTCCTTTGTCCTTCCGGCCCGGGCCGAGCCCTCGGTGCCCGGGCCGCTCCGCGCAGCCCCGGCCGGCGTGGAGGCCCTCGCGCCGAGGGCGCGCCCGAGGCCCACACCGTCTCCTCCCTTTTTTAGTTTTCAGTCCTTGGTGGCTTTAAAACCGCGCTGCTCGGTTCGCCTAAAGGAGACTGGGGTCAAAATGGAGGAGGCGACTGGCTAGTGAACATGCGTCGGGACGTTTGTGTCCTCGAGTGTGAGCCCGAGTGGGAAGGGGAGGGCGGGGAGCGGGGGACGAAGCGCCTGAGTCCCCGACGAGAAATGCCTGCAGCGTGCAGTGTGGGGCCCGAGTCGTGCTGTGCGTTGCTCGCCTGCCTCCCACTGCGGCTCCGCTCACGTGAAACTGGATACGGCACGTGGGCGACCTCGGTCGGGAGTGCGCGCGTGCTGGCGCACCGTGGGATCCGGTCGAGCCGGACTCAGCCATCAAAGGAGATAGAATGTAGCTTCCTTTAGTATTTAGTTATTATCTCTTCACCCTACGCCTCTTTTATTTGTGGACCTTTACATTTAAGGTTTAGGCTTTATGTATTTCAAAGCATACTCCTGGGAGACCAGCCTGGTAGAGCCATGTCACGGTGCCCAGTCCTGCTGCTTCTAATTACGCTGCTCCCTGGCACGCAGGAGATGCTCAGTGTTAGCGAGGGGGGTTTAAAACCAGCAATCGTTAATTGAGCACGATCTTATTCCATGTAATTACCTTATTTTCACGCTCACTTAATACCTTTGTAGAATCCCAGTAAAATAAACACTATGATGTGTGATAGTTTTTTTTTTTTAAACTGAGTATCTTTTTTGGAAATCAGTTACAAAATACATACTGCTTTAATACTTATTAGGGAATAGGAAAAAGTAACCCTACCGGTGATAACCCTTGCCAGTTCTGGGTTCCTGCTAACTATGCTTGAACTGTAGGCCTGGAAGGTAGTAATATTCCATAAGAGAGTGAGGCATTCTCTGGAAGTAATTGCTAATTGTGTTGTAAAGGAAGGAAAATTGGAAAAGTACCAGACAGAAATAACACGAAGCCATCTATTTTGTTTTTTGTTGTGACTTTGAAAAATTGCTAAGGTTGACATGGAGTTCATTTCACTTGTCTCTGAAAAGTATTTTCCTATGGATTACTTATTCATATTAATCATTTTTACTTGCACAGAAATTGCATGACACAAGCATTTTTTTTAACAGTAGAAAGTAATAAAGTTCACTCATCCCTTTCTCCTCTCTCTAAGGTACACACAACTAACAATTTAATGTCTCTTTACAAAAATTTTCTTTTTTCTTTTTCTCAAATATTATTACACCATATAGTATGTAATACATCTATAGTAATCATTAAAATAACCCTGGAATATATGAAGTAAAAGTGAAAGGCTCTTTTGGCATACTTGCCCTCAACACACATATGATATACACATGACTATATGTCATACATATCCAAATGGCACTGTGCTATGTCATTGGCATTCAATATTTTACTTTTTGCCATTTAACTCCTAATCTTGGAAATTTTTCATGTAATTACCCATAGATATACGCATTCATTTTAATAACTACTTAATAATCCTCTGTTTTCCTTTTTTCTCACTAATCCGAAAAGATGTTTCACTGAGCATCTTTATGCAGATGTCTGTTCATGTGTTTTCAGAGGATGGATTTCTGGACGCGGAATAACTGATCCAACAAGGTATGCACAATTAAAAATGTTAACATACACTGCTAATTTTCCCTGCAGACATTCTACCAATTTCCATTCCCCATCAACAAGATATCAGGGTGGGCCTGATGGCACACCCCTGTAGTCCCAGCTATTCTGGAGACCCAGGCAGGAGGATTTCTTGAGCCCAGTACTTTAAGGCTACAGTGAACTAAGATTGCACCACTGCATTCCAACCTGGGCAACATATCTAAACCCCATATCTACAAAATAAAAAGTTGACCAGGCATGGTGCCTCGCATCTGTAGTCCCAACTACGCAGGAGGCTATGGTAGGAGAATCCCTGGAGCCCAAAGAGTTCAAGGTTGCAGTGAGTAAGCTCAGATCTTGACCCTGTATTTCAGCCTGGGC